CTACAGAGTCCATCAAAAAACGATTTTGTTGAGAATTTTCGTAGCTATAAGCTCTCATGAATTAAAACTTATTTAAAATCCTTATTTTTAAAATTCTGTCGTTTAAAGGGATACGGAAAGAGGACTTTCACTGTAACATGCAAACTTCAAATGTTCACCACTCAGCGAGTTTTAATGCTACAGAAAACAAAAAAAAAGAACTTATAGTACATTAAAAATCCAAACTTTTGTTATACTTGTTATTTTTTCGTATCTACTTCAGTTTTTGAGGAATCTAAAAAAAAAGGAAATTTTTGTTGAATTTAAAAAAAATATCTCTTTATTCAATCAAACTTTTTTTCTAAACCAGGCATTTAAAACGTTCAAAACTGCTGGAGCACAATGATAGTACTCAAGTGAAGGGAACTGTAGCATGATTACGTCCAATTTTGATTTTGGTGGTAATGGTGGGGGTATTGTTGAGAATTTTTATGCTGAAAAATATTGATACTACTCTTATTTCTATCATATCTCCGTCATTTTTTGTACAATCAACTTGTATAGGTGCTCATTTTGAAGCTCTTTTCAAGTAGATTGAAAAAGATTCAATAAGTTTTCCACGAAATTTTCTTTGTTTCCCCGCAATTTCATGTTAAACATTTAAATTTCAGTACTTTGCGATTTCATACTGAACGTAAATTATTCATACGTAGGTCTGTATTTCACATACAGTGCTTATAAAAACAGGGTTTTGTTCGTTTTTTAATAAGCTACAATTTCCATTCTCATGGTTTTTCCGATTAAACGCTTATTTTTTGAGTTATTTCACAAAACCCGTTTCAAAAAGTGCTTTTTTTCAATGAAAATTCTTAATTTTCAATCGCTATTAACTCGAAAAGTATTGGTTTACAAAGAAAAGTTCATACTACATTTTTTACTTAAAATTAATCACTTTATCGATTCCCGGGGTTATTTTGGCCAAAAAAAATTCAACCCCCAAAAAGGGGGGGGAACCACCCCTAAAAAAAAAGCGGACGTCGGCACTGGGTCACTTTTGTTCCTTGTGCTATTCTCTAACACCTGTAAAAATTTCAAGTCAATCGATGACTATTGAAAGAATTGTCAGGCGAAAACGTTCATTTACCAGACTAATTTGGCAATCAAGTGCAGCAAGCGTGCGAAAGTACTGCGCATCACGCGACACACGCTGATTCGATTGACAGATAGGGCGAAAACCTATTATGAAAAACTAATGTTTGGTATACGGCCTTATCCTGGCGCCTCCACGCTCGATAGCGGAAAACCAATCCGATACAGCGTTTCCTGTAAATCCAAGCTAGAATTATACTAAGTATCAAGGCGATGCGCTCGCTAATTAGCGAGATATTAAATAAATGTAAATATGATTTATTGCCTATTTTTCGGGGAAATTCGGCATTTCCACACACCGCGGCCACCAAGCTGGCCCTATATAAGCGAGCGAAACCTTACGCTCCTGTTCATTATTGTTCTATTCCTTAGAATACTAGCACGTATTCGCGAGCCGAGTAAAGTCAGTTTAGTCCGCATAAATTATGATACGATTAATATCGTCTAGTGTTGCGATTTTGTTTATTTCGCGAGAACTTGTAGTCTTTCGTCGTTAGTGCAAACCGCGAGCGTAAGTGAAATCTAATTTGTCAATAAATTGTACAGTGCGTACTCTCGTTTTCTTCTCAAGCTCCATTCGGCGTGGAGTATGGCGTAACTCGGACTAATATATTCGTGCTCCAAATCAATTCTTTATTTTTCCTTTTTTTTTCTCCGGAACCGCCTTTGGTTACTTTAAGGCGATGCTAAATTAGCTGTTTTTACCATGATTCTATTTGAGGAGAAAGATCCGAATTGGCTTTACGGATTGCAAAATCTTTTCACAGAATAAAAGTACGCACGAAAAGGTATACTGCAAACCCTGATTTCACGAGAAAATCGGAAAAAAAATAAAAAATTCACTTTTTCTGGCAAAGTAGGATCACGTTCAATACCTGTTTTTACCGATGCTCTACAACGCCATCTATTTCAAGACGGCGGCCGACGGCGCAACTACTTCTAAACGCAATTCCTGCTCTGTTGACGTTCCGATCCTCGCATAGATCGTGATTTCTATTTGAAAAGAAATATTTTTTTCTACGCATTTAATCTTGGTTCCGCAAACTCAGGATTATTCGTACAAGTCATTCCAATACTGCAAGACGCTTATTTGCAATCTGCGATCTCTAAAACTTTTATATTAAGTGAATATTAACCTCAAGTGACAGCTGTACGTGTCAGAAAAAGTACATTTTTTTTCCGATTTACTCGTGAAATCAGGGTTTGCTGTATACCTTGTTATCGCCCGAATGGCTATCACTTATTTTATCAATTATTTCATTCAACCGGCATAGCAACCAGCACCGGAAATGCAAGTCTGCACATTCTTTAAACCGCGCGTGACAAAGCGTCGATCTAAGGTCGTAGCGCGTGAAATACCTAAATGCACTCGGCATGGCAACCGACAGCGGAAGTGCAAGATTGCACATTCTTTAATCACGCGATCGCGCCTCTAGCGCGACGAATATTACCATATATGGTCCGATCGAAGACCAAAAGCGACATCATCAAACTCAATATAAGCGACCGCCTAATTGCCGAGCGCAGAGCCTTGTCTTGAAATCTAAACGTAACGATACGTTACGCGCGTCGCGAGAACCGAGTCAAGTAACATCCGCGATACCGTCGCCGACCGGTTTACTCATAAGTCACGAGCGATAACTTTAATATATATTCATTTAACTAAACAACTGTGTTAATTAAATGAAAGTTACAGTTATTAAAAAGCATTGTAATCTTTAGTAATAAATAATTATATAAATAAAGGGGTACAACATTTGTAATCAATTATCAAATTGTTAAATAAAAAGGGTTATTTTAAATAGAAGTGTGGTGAAGTGAGTGATTGTTCGACGACCTTTTCACTATCCTCGTCTTTCCTCGTGGGTCCCAACCCTTTGAGCGGATCGAATCCCAAAATAATATCTTATTGCACCGAGAGGTATAACAACCTTTTCGTGCGTACTTTTATTCTGTGAAAAGATTTTGCAATCCGTAAAGCCAATTCGGATCTTTCTCCTCAAATAGAATCGTGATAAAACAGGACGACTTTAACATCCCCTTAACTACTAAATTAACGCGACTCTTTCTTTTCCTTTTTTTTTCTTTTCTGTGTGTGCTTCTGCATAATAAATTCATTTTTTGAATGGAACATAAGTGAACCATCGCTTTTATTATTTCTTACCTCCCCATTCTTTTATTTTTCTTTATTTTTGTATATGGTGCGTATAGCGTGTGCCGAGTGAGTGCGTGTGCGAGAGAGGTCCCCCAGTGAGTAGCCTCCCCCATATATACGGACAGAAACTGAGCGCTTCTTCAGCGAACTTTTCCATACCTCCTTTTTTTTCTATCGCTACTCACTGGCCGTTCTCGATTAACAATAATACGGTCTAATTAGTGGTCGCGTACTCTCACGCCGCGTTTCCGCCACCGAAATTCAGTTCGCCAACTCTACCGGCATGGTTTTCTCGCGTTATCATTATTACGCATGTTGCGCTATATAAGAATCTTTCCGTTCATTATCACCGTGTTAAACGTCCCCCAGTGAGTAGTTTCCCCCATATTTGCTAGCAGGAACTGAGCGCTTCTTCAACGAACTTTTCCATACTTTTTTTTGTGTTGCTGCTCACTGGCCGTTCGCGATTAGAAGTCGCGTACTCTCACACTGTGACGAGGCTCGTCGAAATTCCGCCGAACGATCTCATCACTATAGTTCTCGCGCTATGATTAGAACATACGCGTTACGATTTTCTTTCAATATCGGAATGAGAGACGACGTGCGTTTCCGCTCGGCCCACGGTCGCTCTACGTCTTCCAATCGGATTTATCTCTGAGTTCGCTTACTCGATATGTTAATTAAATATTTCGAATCTCGTGGTAAGCTCGAGCTCGACCTTAAATCTCGAGACCACTCTGCCAAATCTCCCACACGCCGCGTCCGGAGCGCGGATAAAGCGCGAACTTGGAAAAAACTTGGACGTAACACTATATTATTTTACTCAGTTATTGATGGTTAATATTCTCCTATAGTACGTATTAATAAAAATAATATTATGTAATATATTTAGTTAACTAAATAAATTTGACAAAGTTATTAATAACTTTAATAAATTCATACTGTTCCGGAATTATCGTTACTTTTAAATATTCTCCGAGACGAGAGTCAATAGCTCGTCGACAGCACGCGTGTATCTCGCTCTTGTTCTAACCACGCTGTCTATCTCAAATGGCACGCGACCCCCTTGCGCGACACACGAAATTACTGTCTATCGCGCATACGTTTCGCGTGCGTGAGTTCAGTTCGCTTCCCGATCCAGATCGATACGGATCAAAAGCCTCTATAGTCCTCTTTCGAATTTGAATCAGAGCCTTAACCGAAGTGAACTAAGCCGAATCGTCGCAACCCGCCACCTCGTTGTCGTCTCGCATAAGATTAGCGAATCGTGTTACTATAACACGAATAAGTGCGCGAAATCACTTGTGTAACCGAAGAATAGAATTGGTCTCGTCATTGCGCTCCATGTACATTCCGTTCGCGTTGATATAAAATACGGGACGTTGCTCAGAGTGAATTACCGGTGCACATAGTTAACCAAGTGCATAAACTGTGATTGTGAGATTTACGAATATCGCCCGCTTCGAACGTTGGCTCTTGTTCTTTCGACTTTAGTAATTTTATGAGTTTAATTAATAAACAATCATTCTTAAACCAACGAGAATCGTCGTCATTACACGCCGCCTTGGCGTGCGAACCTTCCATTACAAGGTGACACCAGCTTCACAAACACAAACACAAACATATTTGGTCCTTCGAGCCGGATTCGTCGCCAAGGAGAGTTATTATTTTCGTTTGATTCTCGAACGTTCGGATTTTTTCGTTTGCATTGCAAATCATGTCGTCTCTCGACGAATTGATGAGTCTACAAAACCTGGAGATGGGTGTCATATCTCGCACACTCACTAACTTTAAGAAGCTGGGACAGGCCAAGATGACACGTGCCGTAACGCGACAACGCCTCGCAACCCTCAAGGAGACATACGCCAAATGCAAGGAACTTGACTGCAGAATAACGCTCGCTGCGGACGAGAAGACAACGACAACCCATGCGTACTTCACCCAGAATCACTTCCTGAAGTGTGAAAAATATTACCACGAAGCTTCCGACTACATGGCTGAGGTATTGGGATGTCACGAAATCAGCAATCCCACTCCCGCTGCTCATGACGTAAGTGACCTTAATAATTCGTACCGGTCATCGTCGCATCTTCCGAGGATCAACCTGCCGAACTTCGACGGGAATTTTGACAAGTGGGAAAGCTTTCGCGATAAATTTAAATCAATGATCCACGACGATCAGAGTTTAACGAATGTCGAGCGCATGCATTATTTGTGTTCTTGTGTGAAGGGGGATGCAAGTAACGTCTTAGACCACCTCGCGGTAACTAATGACAATTTCGGCATCGCGTGGAATATTCTCGTTTCTCGGTATGATAATAAACGTCGCCTTATTACTACACATTTACAATCGCTTTTCAATTTACCGTCGCTCGCGACAGAAACCTCCAAAGATCTTCGCACGCTCCGCGATCAAACCAATAAAGCGATACAAGCTCTAAGCAATCTCGATCGCGCAACCGAACATTGGGATGATTGGCTTGTTTTTCTCGTATCACAAAAACTCGACAAGTCATCGCGAAAAGCTTGGGAACTTAAACTCGGCGATACAGTAGAATACCCGCGTTATCGCGAGCTTGATCAATTTCTTACATCGCGCATTCGCGCTCTCGACGCGATTGCACCCGCAACCGCATCGGAGAAGTCACCGACGACCTCCAAAAAGAAAAATCTCGCGTCACATACCGCATCTACCGTTCCGTTCTCATGCGCATTATGCAAAGCGAACCATCTACTGTATCAATGCTCTACGTTCCTCAAGCTAACTCCATCCCAACGTGAATTTATTAAAAACCAGAAACGCTGTGTAAATTGTTTCAGTGCGAAACATTCAGTGAAAGAGTGTACGAATACTCGCGCGTGTCGACAGTGTAGCAAACGGCATTACACGTTGCTGCATTTCGACAATTCCGCTCAACCAGTCGACGCGAAGTCGCCGTCGACGTCCGCACCCACGAGTACCGAGAGCGTCACCGTCGTCGCTACACATTTATTGTCGAAAGCCGTAGCGCCGAGCTTCAAAATCTTACTCGCGACAGCGCGCGTGCGAGTTTATTCACCGCAGAACCGTTTCGTCACCGTTCGTGCGCTCCTTGATCAAGGATCCGTCTCTACGTTCATCTCTGAATCGCTCGCTAAACGCCTATGCCTTGCAAGAATCAATCGTTCTGTTTTACTTACTGGCATTAATGAAATGCGATCTGTCGTGCGTCACGCGGCCCATATTACGATTACCCCGGTGTGTCGCGACGGACCTGCCTATACCACGACCGCATTGATACTTCGGTCATTAACGAAATATTTGCCGAATCGAGTCGATACCGCGTATAATTGGAAACACGTCGCAGGACTCGAGCTTGCCGATCGTGACCCCATGAGTTCGGATCCAATCGACATCATTATCGGTGCCGATCTCTTCGGCATGCTCGTTCTCGGTGGTGTCCGAAAGGGCTCCGAACACGAGCCGATCGCGCAAAATACCACTCTAGGCTGGATTCTGTCTTGACCAGTAGCCTCGTTGCCTCATACTGACTCAGTTTCCGCTCTGGCGCATCACGGAGTCGTCATCGAGACTCTAGATTGCGAGCTTCGTCGCTTTTGGGAGATTGAGGAAGTGCCTCAGAAAGCAGCTCGAAGCCCTGAGGATCACCAGTGCGAAGAGCACTTTAAAGCCACGCATTCTCGTACGCCGGAAGGACGGTATATCGTTCGATTACCGTTTAAAATCGGACCACCAATCTCGATAGGCGAATCGCGCTCTATTGCCGTTTCAAGCTTTCGCCACTTGGAACAACGCTTAAATCGAAACCCAATCATCGCATCCGAGTATCACGAATTTCTCGCAGAGTACGAAACCCTCGGTCACATGACCAAAAGCCCACCGACAGAAATTGTCAAACCAGAGCAAGCTTATTATATTCCACATCACGCTGTCCTACGTGATAGCAGTGCGACCACTCGCTTACGAGTAGTGTTCAACGCGTCATGCCGCACGTCAGACGGAACGTCGTTGAATGTGACCATATGCTCATAGGCCCCAAGCTTCAACGGGATTTAGCCATTGTCATAATGCAGTGGCGCCAATACCGTTACGTGTTTACCGCCGATATCGCCAAAATGTATCGGCAAATCTTAGTTAACTCCCAAGATACCGACTACCAGCGCATTGTATGGCAATCTACTCCTGACGACCCAATCTCCGATTACCGCCTTCTCACCGTTACCTACGGTACAGCCGCCGCTCCCTATTTAGCCCTTCGCGTTTTAGATCAGCTCGTCGAAGATGACGGTGCTGAATTTCCACTGGCTGTTCCCGTCTTACGTCATCAGACGTATGTTGATGATTGCATTTTCGGCGCAGACGACCAGGTTCTAGCTCGTCAAACCCGCGATCAATTGATTGAATTGTTAAAGCAAGGAGGCTTTCGCCTTCGAAAATGGGCAAGCAACGCCACCGCTTTATTGTCCGATCTCGATCCCGCGGATCACGGACTCGCTACTCACAAGGTTCTTCAAAACGACGAGCACCTCAAGGTCTTAGGAGTTTTTTGGAATCCGAAGCTAGATGTCTTTCAATTCCGCGTTATCGCGCCGGCGTCATCCGGCCGGACAAAACGAGCCATTCTTTCGACCATCGCCAAGTTCTTCGATCCCTTAGGATGGGCTACTCCCGTCATTATCACCGCAAAAATTTTTATGCAGCGATTGTGGTCACTCCAATGCCAATGAGATGACGAAATTCCCAGCCAACTTTTCGAGTCCTGGTCAGATTACCATAACCGACTTCCGTGTCTCAACGCCATTAACATTCCGCGCTGGACTACATACGGATCTCATACGCTACAATGCGCCCTGCACGGGTTTTCCGACGCTTCGACAGCAGCTTTCGCGGCTGCAGTTTATCTTCGTACTGTCAATGTAGACGGCTCAATTACCGTCTCGCTTCTCGTCGCCAAATCAAAAGTGGCCCCGCTCAAAACGATAAGTGTCCCACGCTTAGAATTATCCGCCGCGTTGCTTCTCGCGCGCTTAATGCATTTCGCGCGCTCAGCGCTTCAACTCCCCAAGCTCGAGTGCCACTGCTGGACGGACTCTACCGTCACACTCGCATGGCTGAATCAATCACCTTCCCGATGGAAAACCTTTGTCGCCAATCGAGTTTCAGCTGTGCAGTCACTCCTCCCAGGAGTTTCATGGCGTCATGTTCCCACGCACACCAATCCCACGGACTGCGCCTCGCGCGGTCTCGCTCCAGATCATCTCGAAACACATGACTTGTGGTGGTCAGGCCCTCAATGGCTACACCACCCTCCCGAATCTTGGCCGACCTCGAGCCCCTTGGTACCCACCGAGATTCCTCTCGAGCAACGTCAGGAACCATCAGCATGTACGTTGCATACTATGCCCGAGTGGGATCTCTCATCACGTTATTCGTCATGGCCAAAATTGCTACGAATCACCGCGTATCTATACCGGTTTCTAAAACTACGTCGACGTTCAAAAAACCCGCAAGCGAATACCGCAATTTTGCTCTCCGAAGAAATTCAGAACGCCAAACGTTACTGGCTCAAAACCATGCAGTCAGACATGTTTTTTAACGAAATCGTTGCACTTCAACAAAAACACGCGGTGTCGAAAAGCAGCCCGCTATCTATTCTAAATCCTTATATGGACGAGGACGGACTCATTCGAATTCGAGGAAGACTCCGTCGAGCTTGCCTCCCAGGAGCGACGAAGAATCCTATCGTCTTACGCGCGCATCCGCTACTGGTGCTCATTATCCAGCATCATCATCTAAGAACGTTGCATGCCGGTTCGCAATTAACGCTCTCGTCATTGCGAAACGAATTTTGGATTCTCCGAGCTCGCGCCACCATTCGATCCGTTCTATACAAATGCATACCATGTACGCGTGAACGCGCGGCCGTGCCCGTCGAACTCATGGGTGACCTCCTGGCAGCGAGAGTCAACCGCCCGTTCGTGCCTTTATTTATACCGGCGTCGATTATGCAGGTCCGATCGCTGTCCGTACGGCGTCCGGTCGAGGGCATAAATCACAAAAGGCGTATATCGCGTTGTTCGTATGCTTCACAACCAAAGCTCTGCATTTGAGCTCGTAAGCGATTACACCTCTCCTACGTTTATCGCAGCGTATCAACGCTTCGTTTCTCGCCGAGGATTACCGACGTCCATGTACTCCGACAACGGAACCACATTTCACGGCGCCGATCGTGAACTTTCAAGCGCACATGCCGCTGCAATACGCGATCCTAATTTCCGTAACCGACTCGCTTCCGACGGAACTGCGTGGCACTTCCTACCTCCCGCGTCGCCACACTTCGGTGGTCTGTGGGAGGCCGGCGTTAAAAGCGTTAAGCATCATTTAAAACGATGCATCGGCCTCCACACGCTAACTTTCGAGGAGATGTCTACGCTCCTATGTCGAATCGAAGCGTGCCTTAATTCGCGTCCGATCGCGCCCGTTTCCGATAATATCGACGACTATCACGCTCTGACTCCCGGTCATTTTTTGATCGGAACCTCTCTTATCGCTCCTGCCGAACCAAGCGTGCTTGACTTAAGCGAAAATCGACTGTCGCATTGGCAGATGGTTCAACAAATGACCGAAGGTTTTTGGAGGTCTTGGTCTGGTGACTACTTGCATACCCTTCAACAACGCCCAAAATGGCGCGTTGTCCAGCGACTGGCCAAAGTTGGTCAGATCGTCCTAGTGCGTAATCCTCTGGCTCCACCGAGTCAATGGGAACTTGGCCGAATTACGGCGTGTCATCCAGGCGATGACAATCTAACTCGCGTCGTAACGGTAAAAACAAGTCATTCCGAATATAAGCGACCGATTGCGAAACTCTGTTTCCTACCCGTCACAATTAATAGCGAAGAATCAAAAGATTCCGTCACGGCGGGCGGAGGTTCAGTTGAGAATACCTGATGTTACCAGTATCATGAACCTTAACTTTAATTGTATTGCGTCACGAATTTCGTATTGTATATAAAGCCTTGTTCGTTATTATATCATGATTGTATCCTGCGTGCTTTAATGCAAATCATTTCGAATGTTAACATTCGAGGCGGGCGGTATGTTCCGGAATTATCGTTACTTTTAAATATTCTCCGAGACGAGAGTCAATAGCTCGTCGACAGCACGCGTGTATCTCGCTCTTGTTCTAATCACGCTGTCTATCTCAAATGGCACGCGACCCCCTTGCGCGACACACGAAAATACTGTCTATCGCGCATACGTTTCGCGTGCGTGAGTTCAGTTCGCTTCCCGATCCAGATCGATACGGATCAAAAGCCTCTATAGTGCTCTTTCGAATTTGAATCAGAGCCTTAACCGAAGTGAACTAAGCCGAATCGTCGCAACCCGCCACCTCGTTGCCGTCTCGCATAAGATTAGCGAATCGTGTTACTATAACACGAATAAGTGCGCGAAATCACTTGTGTAACCGAAGAATAGAATTGGTCTCGTCATTGCGCTCCATGTACATTCCGTTCGCGTTGATATAAAATACGGGACGTTGCTCAGAGTGAATTACCGGTGCACATAGTTAACCATCCTAAAAGGTACACTCTTCACCTTTAATTTCCACTTTGATTTATGTCGATAGCTTCATTTGGATTGAAGTTATGATTTTTTAAGTGATCGAGTGATTTTACACGCGGTACCACCATTTTTAATACAAAATTATATACAAAAATAATTATTTTCGACATACAAATTTTTTTTTCTTGAAATTGAAGAATTAATGAAGGTCCATGAATTTTTGCAGATTTTTTAAAGCCCTTTAACATGTCTAAAAAACGCCGAGACACGAATGGCCCACGTTAGACCATTAAAGGTGCCGAAAAAACGTTAGACTAGTAAGGGTTAATTAATAAACAATCATTCTTAAACCAACGAGAATCGTCGTCATTACACGCCGCCTTGGCGTGCGGACCTTCCATTACAAGGTGACACCAGCTTCACAAACACAAACACAAACACATACAATATAATGATACATATGTATATTTATCATTCATTACATACATAAATAATTTTGTATAAAGAAGTATAGTAACTCGTACAATATTAAAAAGCTTTTTTAAGAAAACATGCGATTAGTGTATAAGAAAAATGCTTTAGTTGTTATGTTTGATATGTTAAATAAATAAGGTAGCAATTGTCACATATCGCATGTATAAAAATTGTTAATTTATTTAACATAGTTTTAATTCTTCCAATCGTTTCCAATACGCAAACCATACTGTTACTGGAATGACGTAAGCATTGTGAAGTAAGACATGGTCATTTTTAAAAGCTGAAATTAGTATTACAAAGGCGTTTTGTTTGATCAAACTATATCAAAATAATATTACATTTTCGTACATACCCCGCTAAAAGTCTCCAATGACATTACAAACATATTACCAGCTTTTATTTGGCACGGTTTAGTTGCACGCATTAATGTGAATCTCAAGAGATGTCTAGATTTCAGTGAAATTGTGTACCAGTTGCAGCTATAACTGATAATGAATTAAATATATTAATTTTTTATACACTTTCTATTTGTTTACCAAATGTAGCATTGACTTTTTAAAATTGTTTCAAATGGTAAATACGTATGCGCATAAAACAAATGGATTATGAAACATTATTGCAAAAGGTGTATTTAATCTTATATATCTTCTTTCAAATTTAATATACGTAAGTCCTTTAAAAATTAGTACAAAAATTATTTAAACATGAGGTCTGTTTTTTGTGGCAGAACTAGTATACACTGTTGGAACTTAAAGTGAAATAGCCGTATGTTAGATATTTATTGAAAGAGAGAAAGAGAGTTTTAGTGTAGTCTAGTGCAGGAATTTAAAACAGACTAATTATTGACAAATAAATGCGTACATTACATCTTGAAGTTCGTTGCTGTAATCGATCAATCGTTGAGACGTTAAACTCAAATAATATATATGTAGCAACTGTGCTATATTAGCAGCAAAAATTCTGATAATTTCGTCAAACTGATTGTCCACCATTACCAACTTAAATGATATAGTTTATTATTTTCTAAATAATGAAATTATATTATTTTAAACATTTCAAAATCTCGAGAAATATTTACCTCCGCCGTGCCAAAACTCAAGCAAATAACTATATTTCCGAGGAGAAATAGGAAAGATGTTGCGTAAGTAGATGAAAGCAGATCAGAAAATCTTTGCGTAAAATGATAAAACAAATATTATTAGTTTATTTGAACAAGAAAAATAATTAATTAAACTATATAAAGTTTAATATCAAATATATAATATATATTCTACACTGTTAAAAATTTCATGGAATTTCATGAACTTTTAATATACAATGGTAAATGATATTCAAATCACTCGTAACTGAAATAATATTTAATGTACATGTTAATAAAATTAAATTTAAGTAAATTAAAATTCATAATTGTATTGATATTTATGCTCAATTTCTTCACCTCTAGATAACCTTTATCTAGAAGATATCTCCCAGAATACAATGGAATATCTTCTGGATAAAGTTATCCGTAACTTATCTAGAAGTGAAGAAATTGGGCATAAATGTACTTTTAATATACGGGAGATAAATAATATTTCAACTCACTGTAAATTAAGTAAACTTTAATGTACATGTTCTTTAAATTTCGGCGCTTTTTGCCAAGGACGCAAGGTCGCAGCAGTTGCGCGACAAAGTCGTCAATTGTTTTTACTGCGACTCTAAACCTAGACTGTTCTGACGCGCTGTTTATGTCGTGCGTTGCTGTTTTGTGCCTATCAGTGGAAAGTTCTTGAGTTCCGACGAACTAATCGACCGTGACGGACGCGTTTCGATTCGGGTGCTTTCCATTGTATATTTTTGAAAGTGTTGCCGACTGTGCATTGCATCACACAGATGCGCGGTGTCCGCGGATGAGCTCGTCTTGATTGTTCGTCATTTTGCACTTTTCGACGACTAGGGCTCTTATGACGCACGTTATTGCGATGTAACGACGCCGTAGGCGCAGGAGCCCGGAGATCGGTCAAGCAACACCATTTTCGCTTTCGTATTTTTGTACGGTTTACTTTAAAGACGTGATCTGGCCGTATCGACCTCCTATTTCATTGCTTGAAGGCGGGAGCCATTATTTAAGGAAGAAGAACAAGGAGAAGTGGAAAGTTCTTTTACCGGCTGAAATCGTCGTTATTTTGTATTCACATCATCATATTGTGAATATAATAATATGTAAGTATATCAACGTAAGTATAAATGCTGATTCTCTACAATGAGTCGGTGTAATTTATAGTAAAAGAATTATATTTTAATACGAATCAACATCAAATACTTATCCCACAAATGAATATGTTAACATTTTGATCACTTCGTGGTAGATGTTCCTCTAATTTTGTTGTATTTGTGACAAGAATAGTTTTTTCCAATCACACTTTCATCAATTTACATATTTTAAACTAAATAATTTATAATAAAATTTTTATTATATTTTACAGTAACAGTAAAGAAGATTAGAAAAAAAAAGATTATAAATTTTATGTAATAAAGGACGTTGTCAATTAATACTGCGGATTGTGGATATTGCCTACACATATTAATATTGTAAGTATATACATATATCTATACATATATAAATTACAAGCATGTGTTTTCCTATATATATATATAAGAAGCACATGCTTGTAATTAGAATCATTGAACCATTGAATAATTATTTCATTTAATTTTGTTGAATGAAAGAATTATTATTCGTTATATTGTTATAACATATAATAGTTTACATCGACTGTCTGTGTGCGATTGAAAGTTTAGATTCCTAAATTTCTTTTTTTTCATTAAATTATTAATTTGTTTTACAGATTAAAATGTTTTATTGTCAATTTTGTGCATTTAAAACGTTATCACTGACGTCTCACATGGATCATTACAAATTTCATAGAAATATTACACATTACCATTACTGTGGATATAATAAGTGCACTAAGTTTTTTCAAAAAAACATTTATTTGACAAAACATTTAATTCGAGTTCACGGCTTTATGCAGTCAAAAAATCAGAGAACTATTATCAGAGATGCAATTTGCACTTCTGACGAACGGTGCAAATATATATGTAGTGTTGACATATGCAAAAAAGAATTTGATCATTTTTCTAAATTTGTGAAACATTTAAAATTTCATATTAAAAAAAAAGATAAAATCGTGTGTCCCTATCCACAATGTAAAAAGAAATACACAGTTGTATCTTCCTTTACTGGTCATATATCAAAAATGCATAGAAACGGTTATAACACAGATAATGTCCGAGAAAATAATGACAACAATATTGCTACAGAATCTGTTGAGTTCTTTGAGCCATTGAACGAATCAGTAAGTGAATCAGTAGTTTTACCTAATAATTGTAGTGAGCTGGAATTAGAAGTAAATGATCAATTAAATGTCAATTCAATAGAATTGGAAGATGTGGATAACAAAGATTCATATAATACTATTATTGAATCAAATCTATTTGTTGAAAATGTTGCACAGTTTTATTTAAAATTAGAATGTCAATACTTACTTCCAGCAACAACTATTCAATATATAACAAGTGAAGTAAGTAAAATGCACGAAGAAACGCAAGAAATTATAAAAAAAAAATTAACAGAACGGCTTGCAACAGAAGGCATGTCACAGCAGCAAATAGCTAGTATTTTAAAGGAAGCTTTTAACTCTGATCTTATACTAAAAACTAACGATATACTTGCCACAAATTTTAAAAGAAAGAAATTCTATAAAAATAAGTTTGATTATGTTAGTCCTCTTCAGGTTATAATTAATCAACAGAAAAAAACAACTTTTGCTTACATACCTATAATAGAAACATTAAAAAGTTTTTTTACGGATAAATCTCTTCGAAACGAACTTGGACATGAAGAACCTTATAAAAAAGATGTCCTA